TTTTAATATCATAATGTTTAATAGTAAAGTAAACCCAAAGTCTTTCGAAAAAGAAACGATCGTCTTAAAATTACTGAAATCTGAAAATGACATGTATCATCACATTGCTAATGAGGCTACAAATAATTTAAAACAAAAAAAAAAAACAAACAAACACAATTACTTAATACTACCATGCGCAACTCAATATTTATGTTTAGCAAGAGAGATGCTCATATTTATCAACTATATTTTTAAATCTGAACTGTTGTTTTTTTTTTTTAATTTTATCTCTAACCTAACTTTAAATATATCAATGTTACGTTTGAATTTAGGATCACTCCCAAACAAGGAAGGCAACATTGTTACTATGACAGTTAATTGTTGACAAATTTGAGCCAGTTAAAATAATCATATAAATTTTAAAAAATATATTTTTCTAAAATTAATATATATCATAAAATAAAAATCATATATTTTAAAATTATTTCATATTTATGAAATATAGTATATATTTTTTTAAAGGGTCGCAATCTCCTGTGAACGTATCTCCGATGATCTGCCAACCCAAGTGAAGGCCACGCACTGTAACGTTGGCCACACTTTGTAAATACCGAACTCACATCACACACAAGGATTCCCTCTTCAATTTCTCCATCACAATTCATAGGGTCTCATTCTTCTTCGTCTTCTTCGTCCTCTCCTGGAGCAAGCTCTGGTCTTGCTCTGCAAATGGAGACCTATGCTTTGCACTCGCTCTCCACCTCAACCTCCTTCTTTCGCTCATCCTTGCTCCGCCAACGTTCTCGCTCCATTTCCAATGCTCAATTCTCTTTTCCATCGAACCCCGCTTTCCAATCCCATTCACTCCATCTCTCAGATCACCTGTGTCTCGTTTCTCTATCTCCCTTCCTTCCAAATCTTCCATCTTTATTACTCCTACCCGTAAGTCCCCCATAGCACACAGCCCAATTCAAGCTTCTTCTTCGTCTTCTCCGCCACCACCTCCTCCGCTACACAAGGCGCCAAAACTCATTCCTTTGATTATTCCATAGGTATAGGTCTTGCCGTTCGCTTTTTAGTTCCCAGACCAGTTGAAGTCACTCCTCAGGCGTGGCAATTGCTCTCGATTTTCTTGTCGACTATTGCAGGGCCTGGTTTTGAGTCCATTGCCTGTGGGGGCCTGGGCTTTTTTGGGACTGACGGTTTCCATTGTCACCAGAACACTGACTTTCTCGGCGGCTTTTAGCGCGTTCACGAATGAGGTGATCTGGTTGATTGTGATCTCCTTCTTCTTTGCTCGTGGGTTCGTGAAGACTGGGTTGGGAGATAGGATCGCGACGTACTTCGTGAAGTGGTTGGGGAAGAGTACGTTGGGTTTGTCTTATGGGTTAACGTTCAGTGAGGCGCTGATTGCGCCGGCGATGCCGAGCACCACCGCAAGGGCCGGTGGTGTGTTCTTGCCTATTATTAAGTCACTGTCGCTTTCGGCCGGGAGTCAGCCGGAACACCCTACGGCTAAGAAGCTGGGTTCTTACCTCGTTCAGACACAATTTCAGGTTAGTTTTCAGTTTTCAGTTTTCAGTTTCAAAAACTGTCAGGCTGAATAAAATTCTCCGGCGAAATATAGTATAATCTACAAATTGTCTCATATGGACTTTGTAGTTGTGTCACTTTTATGGTAATCTTAACTGAAAAAACAGGAAAAACTATGGTGATTATGATCGATGTTCTTTTTGCAGTTCTTCGCTAGTTTCCCTGCTTTAATGAACTAGGCATCATGTATGTCTACTATAGTTGTGCATTACTATTAGAAGTGATCATCATAGACTGCGGTGTTGCTAGCTTCTCTGCTTCCTGAGAGCTGTTCCTTGTTTGAACATTGTTATCGTGCGATAAGGAAGTGACTTTTGCATTGCCATTGTGATCTGTGACAGTCTGCTGGTAATTCTAGTGCTCTTTTCCTGACTGCTGCAGCTCAAAACTTACTGTGTGTCAAATTAGCGGAGGAGCTGGGGGTGATGGTTTCAAACCCTTGGGTTTCATGGTTTAAGGCAGCCAGTTTACCTGCATTGGTTTCTCTTCTTGCTACACCGTTGATTTTGTACAAGCTTTATCCTCCTGAAATTAAAGATACACCAGAAGCACCCAGCCATGGCTGCAAAGAAACTGGAAAGCATGGGTCCTGTCACACGGAATGAATGGATTATGGTTGGTACAATGCTTCTTGCGGTCTCTTTATGGATCTTTGGGTGGTCATGAGGTTCATTTAATGTCAACAAATAAAAAATTGTGTGCATTTATGTTTTGACTTGGTGGAATCAAGTATCATGGAGATACTGAAAAATACAGAATCTTGAAACAGGAAAGTGAAGTAGAATATAATTTTTCTTGGCCATCTAGTTTCTATCCCTTTGCTTCTTGTTGCTAAAGTTGGGGGAAATTTTTCAACATTCAAATTTATTCTTATTAGATGACACTATGTTATGTCATTAGTTCTTTGATGTCTTCCCGAACAAATATAAGCCATTGATGATTTTAGGAATACCTAATAATTACATTTTTTTTGTTACTCTTTTTCTTATTGAGCCATTGATCCTGTCAACATTTCTTGGTGATGCAGGGGACTCCCTTGGCATTGCAAGTGCGGTAGCTGCAATGATTGGCTTATCAGTGCTCCTTGTTCTAGGAGTCCTTGACTGGAATGACTGCTTGAATGAAAAGTCAGCATGGGATACCTTGGCTTGGTTTGCCATTCTCGTAGGCATGGCTGGGCAGTTGACGAATCTTGGTATCGTTACCTGGATGTCTGATTGCGTGGCCAACTCCCTTCGGTCTTTGTCTTTAAGCTGGCCTGCCTCTCTAGTAGTTCTTCAGGCAGCTTATTTCTTCATCCACTACCTTTTTGCAAGTCAGACTGGACATGTGGGGGCTTTATATTCTGCATTTCTGGCCATGCACAGAGCAGCTGGTGTACCTAGTGTTCTAGCAGCACTTCTTCTAGGTTATAATACTAATCTTTTTGGTGCAATAACACACTATGGTAGTGGTCAAGCTGCTGTATATTATGGAGGTATGCCTATTGCTCCAATGTCACTTTTTTTGGTTTTTTTTTTTTTGGGTGAATTCAATCGCGTAGCTTCTGGTCAAGTGCACGATATCTATCCCGGTGGTAAACCTCATGTCAGTCTTTTCTGATTCTGATGCATTCCTGTTCTCCCCACACCCACCCCCCCCCCCCAAAAAAAAAGTCTCCCCATGCTTGGAGGCTCTACGATCTTAGAATGTGTTTCAAAGATATGGAGGGCATGGGAAGGAAGGGTTCATTGAAACCATTTGTTCATTTGGGATTTATTAATAAAGGCAGGATAATCGAGTTTTAAATTCAATTGAACTTCCCAAGTACTTCTTCACTTTCGTTCATTTTGGAGATTTAATGGAAAGCCTTCTCAAAGAAAGGGAAGAAATATTATCATTCATCTATCTTCACTTCTGTTTTCTTCCTTTTCCATCCCCTCCCAACTCCAAACATGCATCCCTTTACTCAATCTTCTTTTGGGTGGAAAGAAATTTTAGACCTTAGAAAACCCTACCCAAAGTCATTCTAGTTGCAATATGTAACCTAGAGACTGTCTGAGAAGGCATGCCTAATATTTATCTTGGAAACTCTTTTGCATTGTCATTTAAAAGATATGTTCAACAATTTTGGCTGATGATATCTTAATTTTTGTACATTGTCATAAGATATTGATTCTAGTTGCAACATGCAACCTTGAGATCGACAAAGAAGGCTTGTCTGATATTTACTGTGGCACTTTTTTACATTGTCATTTATACTATAAGTCAACAATGGTGGCTGATGATGCCTTAATTCTTTTTCCCCCTTTTTTTTTGACAGCTGGTTATGTAGATCTTCCTGATATATTTAAAATGGGTTTGGTTATGGCATTTGTTAATGCTATTATATGGGGAGCAGTTGGCTCTTTCTGGTGGAAATTTTTGGGCTTGTATTGAGGTTTCATTTCTGTGCTCAAAGAGAAAATTGAAGTTTTTCCCATCGCAATATGACTTACTTCTGTCCGGCCGCAAGCAACAACAGTATTCTGAGGGGAGCATCTGAGCTAAGCATTTCAGCATGGAAGATTCTTGCTTCCATTCTCAGCTTGTTAGTTTTGGCATTGCCACCAATCCTTTAGCTTATTTTCAGTCATGCATGAATAATTCTTTTGGTGGGAATTTAAGTTACGGATTTGAAACTGATCTTATCATGTCTTTGTGGAGGATGGCTTAGTGGGCTTATAGCTAGCCAGCATTCTGATTTTTAATATTCTGATTGTGGCCTGTGAGTTTCTTTAAAGCACTCACAGGGAATCAGATTCTAGTCTGTGAAATTGAAGCGAACTTATATCTTACTGGGAAAATGAACAATAGAAGGCTTATCTACACATTCCAAATATATATATATATATATATTTTAAAAAAACGGTTTATCTGTTGGTTTTGCTTGAACTACAAATTTGGTCTGTAAAGCGTTAGTGTCAAATTTGAATTGGGATTTTGCATCCTAATACACGTCAAAGAGAAGAGGTACATGCAGCATAGACATCATCAAGAAGTAAGTGTAAAGAAAGGTTACTCGAACAAAATCATCATTCAAAAGCCTGTCCACATGTTTCAATCCAAAACCAACAATTACACGAGAACGACAATAAATATACTAAACTACAAACAGAACTTGAAGCAAGAAATCTGACAACGCATATATATTATCATGGTTACAGAAAGGATATGCTTTTTCATCTTCAGTACTAAAGCAGTAAGGTTACCAATATAAATGCTGTCTGTTTTGAAGTGAAAACCGCAAGTCAACCAAGGAGTACTACTTCTGTTATTTGTTCTTCACATATGGCTGAGAACCTGCCTCTTCTTTCTTGGTTTTCATCCTTCTATGATGTTCATGTCAGAGGATTCATCAATTCCCAATTTTCCTAGTATCATCCTCTCTTGTTTGGTATCTGGTTTTTTGTGCGGTTAAGAATTTATATCTAGTTGAGGCAAAGTAAATTGCAATGGTACAGAACTCGTGGCATGCATTTTAACGCACATCATAAGTGCATGGGAAACGTTAAATATTATGTTCTTTCTCTAGAAATTCCAATAATGGCTTAAATTCATTCCTAAAGGGGCATATTTACAAAGAAATGATTGAGTTGCATCAACTCAAGCTGGTGTTGGTGATTATAACTCTGGTTCCTAAAGCAAATGGTTGGGGAATTTGATTCTCAGTCTATACATAAATCATGTGAAACCACATTTTGCAAGGATACATTCCTCGTCAGGGTTTTCAGTAAAATTGGAATGCAGAGCATTACCAATGCAATCGACTATAGCAGAGGTAGTCATTGAAGATTCTATGCATAAAATGGCTGTGATGGCATCTAATCGAGTCACCTCATTTCTGAAACATCAACCTTGCATGAGCTGTGACAATTTAAGGCATTTGAGGGAAAGGGAAGTTGACAAGTTAAATTTCACCATTATGTCCAACTGTTAATGACATACCTTGAGCTAGGCGAACCAAACTTTCCAGCATGCGAACAGTTGTCCTAGCTACATTGCAACTAAATAAACCAACAAGCATTGATTCAAGTACTAAGCTCTTGCAAAAAATGACTTCACATCAAACCTGCATTATGAGTTCCAGATCTCCTTTGGAGTTGATAATAACTGGATATGACTGTCTCAGCCTCTCTTGTAAGGACTGGTTTGAAGGTTTCTTTTACGTAGTTGAAGATTCTATGCATAAAATGGCTGTGATGGCAGCTAATCGAGTCACCTCATTTCTGAACATCAACCTTGCATGAGCTGTGACAATTTAAGGCATTTGAGGGAAAGGGAAGTTGACAAGTTAAATTTCACCATTATGTCCAACTGTTAATGACATACCTTGAGCTAGGCGAACCAAACTTTCCAGCATGCGAACAGTTGTCCTAGCTACATTGCAACTAAATAAACCAACAAGCATTGATTCAGTACTAATCTTGCAAAAAATGACTTCACATCAAACCTGCATTATGAGTTCCAGATCTCCTTTGGAGTTGATAATACTGGATATGACTGTCTCAGCCTCTCTTGTAAGGACTGGTTTGAAGGTTTCTTTTACGTAGTGAATATACCTGCAGGTTTTCTTCATTAAAACGAGTAACCAAGCATCTCTTACAAGTCAAGATTTAATTATAACGTTCAGTGATGATAAGATTCCATTTGAAACAGAGTTCTGTAGGCAATTTGCATTTTTCACGCTATTAGGTCAATTGCTTTTCTCTTGCATAGTTGCCATAATGGCCTCAGTGTACTGTTTTGAAATTAGTTTGAAACCACCATGACTAGAATCAAAGTTGAAAATAAAGTACAAGGTTGAATTCATATGGAAAAATGAATTGAGATTCTAGGTCATATAATTTGCTGAAAGCGCTTTAGTAGCATCTTAGCTTGAAGCATCATCCACACCTTTCCCCCTCTATCTTCTAATAATTTTTTCTTTTGGTTCATGTTACTTTTGGAAGATACTTCACCTCTTGAGCAAAGGAAGGGGCCGATATTTGCTAGATCTTCGTCTTGCCTTGCTTTATCTGGTTCTGCCTGGGTGCTAGTTTTCAAGTATTACATTTTGTTATCACAATAAACTGTATGCATAACACTTGGGTTCAGATTACCTCATTGAGAATATGAGCTGAAACTACCGCGTCCCATTCAGGATTCTTTTATCCAAGAGGCACAAGGACTATATCGAACCTGCTTAATAAAGGACCAGAGAGTGTTTTGTTGACAGATAGAGCTAACTTGGGTTAAGCCGGACAGCCACTAAATTGGATGGTAAATTAAGCAGTATCAAACAGAAGTATAAGGACAATGCCCATCATATATGACTCCAGCCCTAATTGATTCAAGAGAGCAACTGCGACTGTGATTTGACTTCAATTCAAAATGATTTTGAACTAGTACAAAGTCTGATTGAAGGGATACGTTTTCGGGATCATAATGTCCCTTAGGATTTGTAGCCCAAAAACTGTTGTTCTAGTGCTGAGTGTTGTTACAAGACCAGCCTGGGCCAAAGCAAGAAGGAGGAAAGTGAGAGGAGAGAATTAATCAGTAGCCATATTTTCCAACAAACACCTAACTAACATTATAGCAGCCAAGATGAAATGTAAATAAATTCCAAACAGATAACGAGTTAAACTAATAGCTGACAGAAACATGATAATTCAGGTTCCATGAAAAAGAAAATATTGGATGCCATTCATAATATGCACCCGTATTACTACTGTTAAAATAGAAGTCATTATATCTAAAATGTCAGGTCCCATCTGTCTAATGGACTAACCGGGCCTTCAGATTATCCAATGGTGAGAAATCAAAGTTAGCCTTTTAAACAGACATGTTTTCATGTTTATTTAAAATGACGTTTCGGTTTTGACCAAAGACAATGACGTTTCGGTACATGTCACGTGTAAGAGTAAGATGTCAAGTCTAAGGGAGTTTGTTAACAGAATGAGAGACATGGAAGACATTTTCCTTATTCCATGCTTGGATGGGTTGTAAATGAAATGAACTGTTCGTGAATGGTGTTATTTAAATAAGTGAGCTTCACCTTCAATTCCCACCTCATCCTCTGTTATTTTTTTATTCATATTTTTTGGACACCTTTTATTCCTTTACTTTTACTTATACATGTTTGGCTTGTTGATATATCGTGAGTTCATGGTTGAATACTAATCACAATGTTTAGTTGATTACCATAGATTAACAAGATGAAGCGGGTCATTCCACCCCGACTTTTCACAATTCACTATGCATATCCGCCAAGCATTTTAATAAACGGTAATACAAAATATACTTGAACATTGGAAAAGAAAATTTATTTTACATGTAATTAAATTGTACCTTAGCAACGCTTATAGTCTGCTGCTCCATGGCTTCATGTATGGTTGCTCTGTCATGTTCCCTCATACTGGCAAACAACATCAATCTTAGCTTCATAATAAAAGCTAATATGCTAGGGAATTATAAAAATCATCTTATTTTAATGTCGTAGGAATTTGAACTTATCACTAAAGCATCGGATGAGAATTACCACCAGCCTGCTTGGATTAATGAAGTTGCATAGTGGTGGAAAACAATAACAAATATATTTTTGTAGTAATGAGGACTTTTTCCAATATACAAGGCCCTCCAATACAGTTAGGATTTCAAAGTTTTCTAGGCAGATTGTAACTTAGTTTGAAGAAAAGCAAAATATTTTACGTCGAGAAAAACTACAATCCTCAAAAAGAACTGAAAAATGAAACTAAATCAAAGCAACTTCGAATTTGAAGTAATGCACAATAGTTTTCTCATCTAAATTTGAAATTATAACTTTTATCTTTAAGTACACTCCAACTTATTTAAAATATTTTTTAAGAAAAAATTCGGTGTCAGCCGAGTCTTTTAAATGACTTCTCAAACTGGCATCGTCCAGGAACCTCAGAGCAACTCCAGCTCCTCTTTGCAAATTAAAAAAAAAAAAAAAAAGCACTGCAGCTCGATCGGAATAAGACAGGTTACATACATACGATCAAGAGGGACATCTAACAGTTAATCCACTACTTCAAAGTTCCCCCATCAACTACATGGCTCCAAAATGTAAGCGGAATGGTCGTCGCTCCTAAACTCCTGCCTCCCGTCACTATTACGATTTTCTTGACTCTTAACTATGAAGGCAATAAAATCACACCATCGAAGAAAATGCGACCAAGTGGCAAGTCTTGATGAAGAGAGATTGCAATATCCTCAAATTAGGTTGTTTGTAATCGTTGTTTTGTTGGGTTGTCCTTAGTAACACTACGATATATAAGTGATATCCCATGGAGCTTCAGCAGTCTAGCATGAAGATTTGTTTCGTTCTTTCAGTACGAATCATGTTATTAGAGCATAACGACATTATGAAAATTTAGTAATCATAGGAAGTATCACCAACGCATAACCATCGTGGCAATCAAAGCTGAAATGACAGCCTTCGGCCAAAGAGCTATTTTAAAAAGTATAAATAGTATTAATTCTTTTAAAAAAAGAACCCTCCAAGATAAACTATGACTCTTGAGAACCGAAATAATAATTCCAAATATAAAAGTCTTGGTAAATCAAATGATGGATCGATACTAGCATACTACGAACTTAAGCATCCAGAAAACATGGGAACTGTCATAATAGTAAAGCAAAAATCTGGCATGCTTCCACTAAAAAGCTTACCTATCAAATTCATCAATGCAACACAACCCACCATCTGCCAGAACAAGGGCTCCAGCTTCCAACATCCATTCTCCTGGATATTCAATAAAATTAGCCTTGTAATTAATTATTCATGCTAATATACTAATAAGATTATGCATATTAAAATTTGTTCAAGTAAATTGCATGAGTTTTATGGGTTTTACAACTGAAATTCACTTTAAATTGATGGCTCACAAGTTAAAATCATCATTGTAATAATTGTTATTGAACAATAAAAAAATAACACAGGAGACGAGTTTTCTAAAACGTGCCGGAAATCTCAAAAGCATATGTAAACCAGCAAAAACCACAATAACTAAAAAAATTATAGAGCCTAGCAATCGTTCCATGTTTCAGGGTCTCAAAACAGGGATTTAAATCTTTTGAAGTTTGAATTAGTTAATTTCTGTGAAGTTTTCTTTTTTAAGAAAGAGAGAGAAGAGTTTATATTTTATAAAAAATAACAACATGAACGAAAATACTTAAAAAAAAAACTTCACATAAATTCATCAATTCTACTTCAAAGAATTCAAATCCCTCGAAACAGTACTCTACAGAATAAGAGCAGCACATTCACTGGTTACTTGGACAGTCTTGCTAAATAAAGAAAATATTAAGATCTTAACCAAACATAATTTCAAGGGAGAATTTACAGCTAAGCCCCTTATAAGGCATTTATTTATACATAGGTCCCTTTGTTGGGAAAAAAAAAAAGTTGTTAATATAGCATATCATAGTTGTCAATCTCAAGTTCAAAGGGACCTAAATGTAATTAAGTCCCTCACAAGGGACTTGGTTATAATTCTCTCAATCCCCCCCCTCCAACAAACAGCGTATTTGACAAGCGTAACTTGGAACATAAGTTAGGAAAAATCTATATAAAACTCACCTCCATCCTTCACAGCAGTAACAGTCAATCCTGCACTCGTGCTTCCCATGCCAGTGGTAACTACAGATCTATTGCTCAATTTTGCAGCAAATTTCAAAACTGAGATTTCCCTGTGCCTGTGGAATTAAAAACAACATGGAAATGACTGATAGAGAAATTTCAGATTAAACTTTATATGTTTAAATTCATAAATTAGTTTTGCCAAGGAAATTGAATACACAGTTGCAATTTTAAAAAAAAAATTAGTATTTAGTTGCAGTGATATTATTTAAGAAAGGTAAACAAACAATAAATAATAAATAATAAACTAACAAATAACTGCTGTTGACAGAATGCATATTCAAGTCCAAGTATAGTAGTTTGGAGACGAAAAATCATCCAATGTTTGCAGCAATTTCATTGCATAACATAAAATCACTTTGTTGGCATATAAACTTACAATTTAACATGTCTGCATAAAAAATGCAAGTTAGTTAAAAGATTAGTAAATTCACAACAGCAATAACAATAACTAACAATAATGATGATGACGATAGTGGCAACAGGGATGGATTTCCTACCAGGATCGCCAACCAAGAGTAAGTGGGGGTTCTCCTCGAACCTTTGTTCCAGAAGCATGGACATGTTGCACACCTCCAATAAGTGTTAATGCAACTAAAAATGCCAAAAAAAAAAAATAAAAACAAACGAATACTGTGAACAAAGATGTAGTAATGGTTAATAAAGGGATGTGAGGATGTACGAGATGCCTAATGATTGAATATCACTTTCTACGTTTTAACATGTAGCACTCAGCATTCTATTTTAGCTAAAGTATAATAATACTAGGTAATTCAAGAAAATTTTGTTCCATGTTGTCGTATGTAACAGAAAACCCTAAAATTTATAAGGATAATCAATCACATCAGGGACCCCATCGTAGATATATTTTGTAAGTTCGTCCATCATAATAAAATGGAAAGGTAACTCAACAAATCATTGATGAAGAATATAACTCAAAACTAAAATGGTTTATAAGGATTGTTTAAGATGAATATGTGATTTAAAAAATTGCCACAATTTGACGGACTATTTACCTGCCAGCTTGACAGTGAAGAGTCCAAATACTTGTGGGCAAATTCCTCGTAAAATAGCATTCCTCCCTGGATCAATTTGAAACATCTTTTAAGTTCATCTTTAAAACATAATTTATAAACTCCCAGTAAACTTTTATAGCTGTCAACCAAATTTAGGGGGTAGAGGGTAAATATTTCAAGCTGATGGCTACCCCCTGACTTGTAGTTCAGTTGCTGATAGATAGCATAAAATTATATTGGAAGAAACTTTCTGCAAAGGTTCATAGAAAAAGATTAAATTATAGATATAATACCAAAAAAAGATCCCTGGACCAAAATACCACCTTTCAAAGGACAATCTTTGAAGTGGATCCAGAATTGTTTGAATTTCATAACAAGATCATCAGGAATATCAATTTCTGACTTCAGTTCATTTGTTCTCCTGGAAGCAAAGAGAGAAGCAAATATATTAATGATTAAGCTGTTCTTTTCTTTTATTTTTATTTTTTATTTTTTTGCATGAAAAATAAATTTATGATATTAGAGAATACAAAAAAGATGAAGAATAGAGGATAAGAAATCCACCACAAAAAAAAGGGAACAAAAAGTAAACAACTGAACTCTTCATCTCAAGAGGGTTCCAATCCCTTTGAAGATCCACAAGAGATAACCCCCTAAGAAAATCATTTGCTAAAACCCACAGAGGACAAACAAATGATCCTCTCTTGAAGAATCTATGATAGAAGAAACCTCTGATTTAAAGCTCGTATTGCAACCTTGATATCACTGACAGTTGAGGTAAATGAGGAAAGGCTTAGACTACGTAATTATAGAATTTGTGCTTGACTGAAAATATAGCATTACTGATAAATCCCAAATACTAGGAAGATTTATCTTTTAATCTTTTATCATCAAGCACAGGGAAAAGAAATTCTCTTTTCACCTTACACGATTGGCTATTAGTACAGGATCAAGGTCACAGCGTACATCTTTGACTTCTGATGACCATTTTGCTGTTAACACCCCAGAACAAATTACATCATCTGCAAGAGAAAAGAAGAAGAAACAAAAGGTCCTTCTTTCAGTTAAACAGCAACACAAGGATACCCTATTAACACATAAAATATGACTTTATATTGAAATACTAGTCTTTGACCAAAAAAAAAACAAAAATTGAAATGCTAATCAGGCATTTCTTTTCTTAGAACTTGGTAAAATCACTCGTCAATGTCTTCCTGTACTCCTGTTTTAGCATATCATAGTTGAGCATCAACCTTTTGGACAACTGTTGCTCAGAGGTTTACGACTACTAAGCAAACAAACGTAATTTTTTTTTTCAACTGTTTTAATCACCTATCCACTCAAAGGCCACCTAAACAGATAGCACTTTAGAATACATTGAAATCCTGTATCGCGCACAATAATGCCTTTCTTTGGTTAATCAAGGTTCCTTCAAATAAAGTTCCCTCTTGCATATGATAATAAAAAAGTTACTATCAGAACAAAGAAAATAAGATACCTCCAGCTTTAACAATGTCAACAAGGTCATCCTTCAAGATGACAAGGATTGAACGAGGAATCACCCCAACACCAAGAACCTGCGTGCTTTCTTGGATTTTTATCTCTTGATAATCATGGCATACTATAGTATTATCTACATACTGGAATTTTGCTCCTCCACAGGGCTTAGACCCCTGCCAATGTGAACAACAACAAATAACTAACATTTCTTCAGCGAAAAAAAGGGAAATAAACAATAAAAATAACAATGACAACAGAATACCCAAATGAGAGAACCTCAAATTCAACCAAGGTTAGATAGCAATAGAAAAGCAAGAAATATTAAATGAATGAACAATGAATTCATTGAAAACGTGGGATTTAAAGGATAAAAAGTACAAAAAGTAATAGCTTACTGTGAGAGGCGGGAAATAAACAATAACAATGGAATACCCAAATGAGAGAACTTTGAATTCAACTAAGGTCATATAGAAATAAAAAAGCAAGAAAAATTAAATGCATGAGTTAATGAATTCATTGAAAACATTGGATTTAAAGGATAAAAGGTATAGAAACAATAGCTTACTCTGTCTAGCTGTACATATGTTGAACTACAATTTTGCACAATGTTGCAAGAAACCTCACGTAGTGCAGGAAAATTCTAATTGCAATATTTTGATTATATTTCATTTTAGTAAGAGACCATACATCATGATTTTAAAAACTATAAACAATTGTATCAATTTTAGAAATAGGAAATAGTTTAGGAAAATATGCAAGACATAAACTTTAGGGAAGAGGAGGTACCCGAACTTGACAATTTGAAGGTAGTGTTATGGAGTTTCGTGCTTCCACCTCTGGATAAACTAGGAAGCTGCACATATACATTGTTAGCTTATACTAAAAAAATTGAACATGAGGCATCGTGAGCATAAAACAGATATCTTCCTCCAGAATAGGTAATAAAACCATGAAAAATGAAAAGTAATAAATGTGATAGCAACGTGTAATTAATAGAAAATCTTTGGACAATTTCAAATTGAGGCATCTGAGGCCAGCCTATCGATAAATTTTGGGGAAAATGGCACCCCTGCTCCTTGTGAACAAAATCAGTCTGCAAAGTTTAAAATTTAAGAAAACACCTATTTGAACTATGGACTGACATGAAAACCTTGTACCAAATATTATTAATTGCAAGAGGTCACATAATTCTCACATGATTGTACACACACAATTTTATTCTCGTCTGATGTCAATGAAAATTGCTGAAACAAAGAAGCAACCTCTTCTTGTTAATTTTCAGTGAGTTTTCATGTTTTCGTTTTAGGACAAAGTTCAGGGAGGAAATGTAGCTTCCTCAAAATTTTATAGATTTGAAAGCTGGAAAGCCAACCATTTAAAAACATAACAAGGTAATATACAGGATTTTTAACTATATAAGATGGGTTCATGTATTTAATGACACTGGAATAATCGGGCATAGGGCACACCTCTTCTTGCACTTTAGGCACATGTACTCCCTCTCTCCTTCATGCATCTTTATTGCTCCTGACCGGATTACTGTCCCTTCAGAGTTAGAAGAATCCCCCGGTGCTTCACTCTAATACGTCCTATGCTTGGAAAGTCTCTATTGCATTAAGACACACAAACAATAAACGACAAGATAAATTAAAAGAGTATTTGCTAGTCATATTTTGTGGGAGGATGAATCACAACATATAACAAATAAATTCCAAGACGTCCTTAAGACAGTTATTAATCCGAATTCTCAAAAACAGTTATTCAGCAAAACTGAGTGAATGGTTCAAACTTCAAACAAGCTTGACAGCTTGAAATAAGCAAACCAAGCTTGAAAGAAGCAAACCCGGGCATTCAAGTGGAGAGCCGCTTGTATTAATGCGGACATGAATCATCTTTTTCTCAACCCATTTCTTGTCTGCTCCCGAATCTTCCAATATGATTTTCTACACACAATAGTAAACAAATCCAAGTCAATTTCGCTCTTCTCTCCTTCCACGACCAAAATTAAAGAAGTATTATAAAGTCATGAATGAAAGAATTTTGATCGGAGCTAGCTGACATGGGCCCAAACAGCAGCCTGGTCGAATATTTGTAAATATGTAGCGGGTTCGGTGAAGATGAGATGGGCAAGGTGAGGGTCATCATCCATCAACTCTGCGAAACTTAAGAGCACAAAGAGATTTCAATTTCGGATACAGGAACTTGTAAAAGTGATAACAAAAAGAAACATAGGAGATGAGGGTAGCGTACTCGACGAAGAGGGGGTAATAAAGCTTGGAATCTGGAGAGGAAGCAATGCAACGGAGCTGGTCCGAGTGATTACGTATGAGAAAACTCGCCATAGGCTTTTGCCAGTAACTTGGATCCGTGGTGTCCTCGCCGACGTCCATGGCTGATCGCGCCAAAAAGCAGCGGTTGGTGGGACGATGATGATGGATTTTGGCGGGAAAGAAGCTAAATACGGCGTCCCAGGGTCAGAAATGTCAATTCCTCTCCTTGGTTTAATTATATTAGATAAATAATTTAAATATCATATATCATATAATCATATATATCATGTAATATATTGTGAAGTGCATCTCAGGATACTGCTCATCCACAGCTGGATCAATAGTACCATTTTTTACTTCTTCTTTTTTAATTTCATTTTTGTATATTAAGAGTTTATATGAAACCCATAACAAAAATTTTAAAAATAAGTGTGGAACTCATAATAAAAAATACTTATAAATATAAGACTCATAAAAAATAATATGCATAACATTTAATATTTTCTTATAAATGTATAAGATTTATTATTTATTGATTGTATTTTGTTTATGTATATGATAATTAATTGTATATAACATGCAAATTAAATAATAAATTATAAAATATAATATTTAATTATTTAAATCAATCAGCTTATTCATGTTTCCTTTTTATATATCATATACAGCAAATTTCAATCAATTCACACAATTTAAAAATTAATTAGTTCTAATAATTATGTTTGAAATTGAAAATTTGAATTAAGATGTACTTGTGATTTAACATTTATATTTTCCTAATTTAATTATAATATCATTTAATAAAGAGTAATTAAAAAATGTGTTATAAATATTTTTTGAAAATTATCGTTTTTGCATATAAAATGTGTTTAATATTTCATGCATCGCATGGAGGTATAAAATTTAATTTAAAATAAAGTGAATATAATTAATCTCGTTCTTAACTAATTTATAGTTATAACTTATAAAGTATATTTTATATCTCAATAAATTAATTAATTATTTTTAAAAATATATATTTCTTTTTATGTTTGTCATTGTTTAATAAAAGACGTGTCAATTAAAAAGAATTTATTAATTACACTTTTAAATTGAAATAGTTTTGGAAGAATCTTATTTTTTTTGATAATTATAAGGAGTAGGCCTCATCGACCTAAAACATAAAAAATGATGGGTTATATTTTGAAATGCTTGCATTATATTTTTAACATCATATTTAAAAAAAAATACTTTATAATATCAAATAAAAAAAATTTTTTAGTGTAATCATATTAGTCTTCCCATGAGATGCATGTGTATTGTACTTCTTCCTCTTGGTTGTTACTTTTCAATTAGGGGATGGAGGGGGCGAGTTCCACCCCCTTCCTTGTGTATGTATGTATTTGCCTCTTACAAAATATACTTATTGTACATGATATATATAACTTGTTAGTTTATTAAAATATTTTATTGATTAACATTAATTTTGATTGATAAAAAAATAATGATGCTTGATGTTTATATCACTACTAAAAAATGATATCAACAAATTTCATCACTAATTTTTGATTTAGTGATGGAAATTTTTATCATTAGATTTGTCAGAAATACAGTGCTACTAATTCATGTGATGGACATGTGTGTCCATCACTAATTTTGTAACAGAATTGCCTATCATTTTTTAGATTTTTTTTAAGATGAAAAAATTATTGGAATTTTCTTTGCCTTTTATCCTCCCATTGTTATATGTAATCAATACTAAATTAAAATAAGATGTTCATATGATTTAAAGGAAAAAATTCTAAAATAGATATATTTTTAGAATTTTAATTTACCTAGATATAACAATTCATAGATTAAAATAAATTGTTATATCTATATATTTGATTATATATGGGATAACAAATTTTCTGATAAAACAAGTTTTTTTTATTTCTATTTTCTAATCACAAATATGTTGGGGAAATAAAATTATATAGTTAATTTTATTATTATAATTATTGATCTATAACAAGATATACAATTGTCTTTCACACTTTCTATAAACTATTATTTTTAAAATTATGGAGTTAATATTTACTCATAATTTAACTTTTATTAGTTTTTATGATTTGTTTGTATCAAAGAAAATGGTTGGGACGAGAGATTTTAAATTTTAGTGATTTTTTAGTGACTTCAATTTTAGAAAAATAGTTTCTTTTACATCTCTCAAATAAAATTTTATAACATATTCATCTTTTTTTCTTAAAATGAAATGATTAAAATATTATCTTTCCTTTCATTTTAAACAAAAAAAAATGAGAGTTAATATTTTCATGCATCGCATGAGGTATAAAATTTAATTTAAAATAAAGTGAATATAATTAATCTCGTTCTTAACTAATTTATAGTTATAACTTATAAAGTATATTTTATATCTCAATAAATTAATTAATTATTTTTAAAAATATATATTTCTTTTTATGTTTGTCATTGTTTAATAAAAGACGTGTCAATTAAAAAGAATTTATTAATTACACTTTTAAATTGAAATAGTTTTGGAAGAATCTTTTTTTTGATAATTATAAGGAGTAGGCCTCATCGACCTAAAACATAAAAAATGATGGGTTATATTTTGAAATGCTTGCATTATATTTTTAAACATCATATTTAAAAAAAAATACTTTATAATATCAAATAAAAAAAATTTTTTAGTGTAATCATATTAGTCTTCCCATTGAGATGCATGTGTATTGTACTTCTTCCTCTTGGTTGTTACTTTTCAATTAGGGGATGGAGGGGGCGAGTTCCACCCCCTTCCTTGTGTATGTATGTATTTGCCTCTTACAAAATATACTTATTGTACATGATATATATAACTTGTTAGTTTATTAAAATATTTTTATTGATTAACATTAATTTTGATTGATAAAAAAAATAATGATGCTTGATGTTTATATCACTACTAAAAAAATGATATCAACAAATTTCATCACTAATTTTTAATTTAGTGATGAAAATTTTTATCATTAGATTTGTCAGAAATACAGTGCTACTAATTCATGTGATGGACATGTGTGTCCATCACTAATTTTGTAACAGAATTGTCTATCATTAATTTTTAGATTTTTTTTAAGATGAAAAAATTATTGGAATTTTCTTTGCCTTCTCTATCCACCCACAACATGAACGCTATGAGGTCAGGTATTTTATATTGTGGATCATAATTTTTATTTTATAGAATGTGCTCCTTTTGATTTGAACCTATAACCTCCAGCACTCCAAACCTTTAACATTTATTTTTTGTCGGTTAAGCTATAAGCAACCTTTAATTTTAAAACTCAACTTTTAATAAAAATATACATGCACACATTTATACACATTGTCAATCACTTTACCATCATAACTATTATGCTATCATTGAGCAAAATATTATACATTTTATTTATAGAGTATATATATAAAAATTAAGTAGTAATTAAATTATATAATTAAGTTTTAAATATGATACAATTTTTATTTATTTTAATATATTTTTTTGCAAATATTAAAAAATTATACTAAAAAATTTTGTATGTGAATACACATTTGTCTATTATTATATTTCTATATGATTATGGATTTTATTTTATATAAGATTTTTTATTTGTCACTAATTAGTGACAGAACCATATTCATTACTAAAATTGTGAATATTGAAATAAAGATGATGAATTTCAAAATTTGTCACTAATTTGTCACAAATAATTATAATTAGTGATTGATTTTAATCCATCACAAATTATCTGTTAGTAAATCTAATTTTTTCTAATAGTGTATGTCCACATTAATCTATTGTTTTCTTTCGTATAAAAAAATAATATTTTGTTTTCTTCAGCTGTTTAAATTAAATTATTTGAAATAACATATGATTTTTAAGATTGTCTTATTTGCATGTCAAAATGTTTTTAAAAATTATATATTATTTATTATATATGCTGATTTAAGTTTTATAAAAATTTAAATATTTACTTTATCCTCTCATTAAATCTTAACATTCAATGAAATCTAATTCTACATAATTCATTATAAAATACTCTGGTACCGTTAAAAAGAAATTAGGTACTTAAATTTATATATTTAGAGTATTTTTTTTCAATCTAACTAATTGGATTTTAAATTTTAAAAGGTCAAAAATATCGACAAGAAGAGATATTTATAAGGCAAAAGTGGTGGCTTAAAAGCCATATGATTTTGATTAAAAATTGTGAATATAAGTTTAAATATTAAAATTTTTCCTTATTAGTATTTAATTAATTAGTTTTAAATTACTTAAATTAATAATATTTATTAAATTTAAAAAGTTGCCCCCTCAAATTTAAGGTCTAGTTCCGCTCTTGTTTTCAATTGTGATCATGACACAACAGCACTAGATATTTTTCCTATACATCGGCGGCAACACTCCATTGATGACAACTGAAATGGGTATTATTCAATATACTCATGATTATTTTTAATTCTAACATTTCTATGAAAAAAAGTTCCAACATCTGGATTATATATTTCTTTTTTCATGGACATCTTGATTATACCTAGAAACCAGACTTAAGTACTTGGCCTTATATATTTAATGACCTTTTTTTCCAATCAAATCAAGATAAATAAATTTTAATGTATTAATAATATTAATAACAAAAGTTTGTTATAGAATATAAATGATATATAAACAATCATCATGTCTTAAGCATATAACATTAAGTATATAAATTTTTCCTTGACATTAACTCAATTTTTTTCTAGAGAAGTTTTCAAATAAATTGATTCATTGAAGATATTAACATGGGAAGATTTTGATTTGAGTTCATAAAGATAAGAAATTCTGTTCTTAAAAAAAAAAAAACGATTCTATTACCAGGTAAATACTAATACTAAATACATCAGAAATACATTCTCTCACAATTTTCTTTTCCTAAATAATTATTTCTCTATATACCACTAAATGCATCCTGGGTTCAATTTTTTCAATGTTTGATAAGTTTAAAACTACAATACTTTAGGGAATATTGGCCTTGGAATATAGATTCTACCAACCATTCTAGCCAGAACCAGTCCAAAAGCCAGTGCAACTCCAAATAATGCATGCAACCTCACACAAAAATACTTAGCCATGAAGATCTTTTCCTTGTCCTGTGCAAAAATAGACAATTCAGATTCTGCAGAATATACTGATAAATTTTCCAAAGATTCATCCGCAAGTCTTCCTTCCACTCACCTTGTGGTTGTCTTGTACAAATCTAACCACAAAGTTTCCCATAGGAAGAGTCAGGGCACAGAGGAACTGATATCACAAACAACAAAAGAAAATTATAAGCCCCTTGTCCAAAATAGTCATTGCACCCTAAAAGAAAGGCACAGATAAGACACGAGGTAGAGAAAGTTGGATAAGTGTGAGTTTCTCGATCAATACACTTTATCAGTTAAGTATGAATATATCGTATAAAGCATGATAACAATGTGATCCCTTGAAACCTATGTGATGGGTATTTAAATGGGATAAGAAAACCTGTCTCAGCTATATTGAGGTGAGAGAATCAACCCACTTAGATACTCCACTTGAGCATTACATACTATTCAATGTGAGACGTGGTATCCCATACTGTTAAGTCTCCATCACCATGGCAAGTTTATGATTGGCTTGGTTTATTTCCTATGTCTTTGTAAACTGAATGAATATAAGAATTATTCATTAAGGACTTGCTTGGTACACAAGATATAAAGAAATGAAAAGGGAACGAAATGAAGAAGGTAATTTTGCATATGAGATATGTCCTTTGTACTTTTGAAATTGGGTTAAGATGCAAAAATACTCAGAAACTTTTTCTCCTTAAGTCAACAATAGTGCATAGATACCTATTAACTTTATAAAAGAGGCCAAACTTCCTTGATTCATTAAAATAGCCTGACATTAAATAGATTGGAAAATGTTGACCTCTTTCATAAAATTCATGGATATCCATGTACTATTATTGTTAGCTTAAGAATACCAGAAGATTTTGAAAAAAGTTTTTGGTGTTTTTGCACGTTAACCCTTTGAAATAAAAAAAATGATCAGAATATGTAGCTATAGTTAAGTAATAGTAATGGGAATGTTAAATATATATATATATATATATAGATTGCATGTCTCCATATTTTATATCATGGAAAACGAATCTTTTCCCTGAATGCAAATCAAACAGAGCCAACATGTATAGGAGAACATCATACAATACAAGTGACAGGAAGCATCCCGCTTAGTCCGAACGAAGCCAAAAGGGCGTATAGCAACATGATTGCCACTTTCACTACCTGTGCACCTCTTCTAGAGCCAAGTCTGACCTGAATTAAAGAAAGAAAGAAAGAAAGGAAAAAAGAAATCATTTATAGATTCACATAGTCAAATTATGATCAGCAATAGCAGAAAATGCTTTGTCCAACAAAGTGCATTTACCAAAGGCGAAAATTTTCCGACCTCCCTGTCACCTTCCACCTTTAGTCATTTACAAGCAAAGTCAGCTACTTACAGTTACAGATAAAGTGGATTAATAATAAGAAATCAGAAATGGAAGTACCTGATGGAAGTGACTGCAAAAGAGAATTAGGGCTGTTGTGAACCCAACAAGGACCGATGCCGAAAGAACTGTTCCAGTTAAGGGTAAATGGTTCATCACACTATCAAAAGTTATATAGAATCAGCAATCAAGCTATGAAGTTTCCAAATTTATATATGTATATATATATATCTATATAAAGGTCAATTGCTTCTCAAAATCATGAGGTTTACTCCTAACTTGGAAGATAAGGAACAGTTCTCATGTGGACTGTCACCATATGTACATAATTGACATGCAAATGCAGGGCTCGTGTGTGAAATTGTACAGATCAAATTTGGGACATTGCAAAAGTCATCAATGTTTTTATAACCCTGTTTTTATCATGAACAGGCAAATTGAATTCCACTAAAAAGTGTATATCAGCTTAGTCGAGAGTACCAAATAAACATAAAAATCTCTTTGAACCAGTAAACCAAAGTAGCAAGGAACTTTAAAAGGCATCAATGCATGTGAAGAGAGAAATAACCTTTCACTGCCCAGCAATAAATAAAAGGCAGTAGTAGAAAAAGGACCAAATGCTGCAAAACACAAGGGCTCTCCCAGTCCTTGGTAGCTTAACCGAAATGGTGGACACTGCAGCACCAAATGAATCAATCACAGAATGTGAAAGTTAGTATTGCTCTCATTTGACGTTCAAATCCAATATGAATTCAATGTTGAAAGAAAGTATTCTCTTTCTCATATATATATATATAATTATCTTATATCCACTGCTACTGGATCAAATTTATATATTGTATCCAAACAAAAGCAACTTGTCCAGGGTGATTCTTTTCGTCCACAAGGTTCAAACCCATGCATTCTTTACTTTAAGGGTTTCAAATCCTTTTCACTCGACATAACCATGGTTGATTAACGGAAATAGTTTACCTGATATATGTAACCGCAAATGATTGCACAAGTTAGAAACAAAATTGATTGTATATTTCCAGCCTTCATAGCAGACCAAGTTAGCCCCGTGAAGCCAAGAGCAAGACATAAGCAGGCAGCAATGAAGGTTCCAGTTCGGCTTCCCAAATTCAATATGAAAGACATAAAACATCAGTTTCTATTTTACGCCAGACACTGATGTAAAGAAGAAAACATAGATAAAAATGTAAGTTAAAGAGAAACTCACCTGCCAAACAGGTTGATCACTGATTCCTTTTTGTTTTTATCAGCTCCAGTATCAAAATCATAAACATCATTGCTGCAATGAACCAAATATAAGAAACTATTTAGCTAAGAAAAATATCAGACAATATCCAAGGTATTGAAAGTAGTGCTTAACAGCACTCTTTTTTAATGTTTCAAGGATATTTCAAAATGATTCAAGAAAAATGAAAGTTTTATGTTGACTCCTAAACTTGTGACTTGCAAGATAGAAGCTTACATATAACCGAAAGCTGTGACTGCCAAAAGTTCTCATGATGAGTGAGTTTCATAGTGTTCACAATGCATTCCTATTAAAAAAGAACTCACCTTAAATTGAGCCACATGATGATAAGAACTGAAGATGCCAAGAGAGTAAAATAACATCTAGATGAGAAGAGGCCTGTCTGCAGATAAGCCGCTGCACCACCTACCTATTTGTTGACAATAGGAACGAAATAAGACAGATAATTTAATGTAATGGTCAAATGATGAAAATAAGAGATGTTCATTTGACCAAAGTCTACTACTGACAACAGTTTAGCATTGCTCTGGTGTATCAGTGGCTACATTCTACTTATCTATCTTTAGGTGGGAAAAATGCTAGACTTAACATGAATCATAGAGGCATATGCATATCATCATCAAGTTGATGGCCTTAAAATCTATGCCTAATTATTATAATAAAATTATTCATAGACCACCACTTCAAATCTTGAGCTTTTGGATTATTCTAAACTTAGTTATATGCCTTCACTTAAAAGCTCAAGCTTTTGTATGAAGTAATAGCTCAGAACGTAGATACTAAATCAGTGACAATGCCATAGCAATTCAACTTGAAACGACTTGTGCAAAGTTAAGCTTTAGTTTGACATGTCAATGTGAAATCACTAGCTACAGGCTACAAAGTTACATTCTATAATCCCAATAGTAACATATTTTTTCTATTTTTTTCTTTTTAAATGTCAATGCTTAGGGTCAATGCATCAGACTTCAGTAAACACATGTTTTGAAGTTGAGAAGCTCACAGTGAGAGGAACCAAAGCAACAGAGTACATTGGCAATTTCATTGCCCTCCAAATCAAAACTCCCTTTGGAATCTCCTCTTCAACTACCTCTCCAGGTTCTTCTTTACGGCTAAAAAAGGATCGGTCTGCTTTGACCGAACGAAGCACATGTTGGTCCCATTGCCTTCTCCTGACAAGCAATTGACTTCTATATCTCCAATAAAACACTCCTTCCACATTACATGATGATCTCTTGGAGCTCACACAGTTCCTGAAAGACAATCCTTTTCAGTAAATCTTAGTTCTCACAAAAGAGGGTTTTTCTAAGGATACACGCGCGCGCGCGCGCGCACACTCACTAGACCAATGCACTCAAATAGCACAAAATATGAGAAATTGCGAACATATAATGACGGTAAGAGAACAACAGTGAACGTGTTTGCTAGCTTCAATCGAATTTTACAGAAATTAATAGTTGATAAAATTGAAACCATTATATTTTGCAACAGGTCAAATTTATTTTTTTAATATATTTTGATATGTGTAAATTAAGCGAGAGGGGGGGATGGAGAGAACTCGCCTTTTGATGAAGCAGCTCGGAGTCTGGAGACAAGACCCTTGAGTGAGCTTGCAGAATGTGGAAGACATTACAGAGATTAATGCATTTCCAAGCTCTTCTCTTCTATTTCTATGGTACAATGAGAGATGAAAAAAATTAACAAAATGGAGAAAACTGACAGCAGCAGCAGCAGCTAACGGTAAGAACTGTGCAGTTATGACTTTTCAGTTATACAGTGTTCTGGATGAGGCAGTATCAATTCCTATCTAATTACAATCCAACAGCATCTAATAAAATAATGCCACGTAAGAGCGCAAGTGTGTTTCCTTGCGCGCCTTAATATATTTTATAGTTGGAGAAAATCTATCCACCTGCCATCTACCATCTGACATTTTGTCGTAGGATGGAGTGTAGATCTTCAGTAACCAAATGACATTTTTAAAAAATATTTTTCAGATAAATTTTTAATTATTATATAGTAAATGAAAATAAAAAATGAGGCTCATATTTTAAAAAAAAGTGGACATGAGATTCACGTTAAAAAATGTGTGGTGAATATAAAACTAATATTAAAATATTTTTTAATCTAATTTATAAGATATTTTTAAATTTTATTAAATATACTTCATAATCTTATTTTATAAAATATAAATATAAATTTTCAAAAAAACATTTCATTTAATATAAAAAAATATTAAATTGAGAAAGAAACATATATATATATATATATGAGAAAGAGGGAAGGGCAATATTGTAACAGGTGTAATTAATAAAATATTATTTTTATCAAATTATCTTATATATCTATACCTTTCCTCAATACATCTATCCATATTCCACATCATCCATTAGTTTTAATTATTTATTTGGTTTAATATTGTAAGATTGTTAACTATGGTACTAAAATTAAATAAATATATGATTCATTATCATCACTTGAATGTTTTTGAAGAAAAAAGGTTTAATAAGCCTTCTGGACCTTGAAACATTACGCCAAAAACACTCTGAAGTTTAAACTTTTAAAACATGCATTTAATATATAAAATGCACTTTAAACTTCTAAATCCAGAGTAAATTACCCCATATTGTTAACTTATAGATAACAATATTACTATTCACATGGGGCCTAATTAAATGCTGATGTAGCAATCCCTTGCTAATGTATCATTTGTTAAACCCTACACTTTGAAATTTAGAGCAAATTAGCCCCACAATTTATATGTAAAACATTGATTGCTATGTAGACTAAATTAACTTCAACATAGTCCACCGTAACGAATGCGTCGTTAGCCATGGTGAAAGATCTAAAATTTTACTACTACAAAAAAGGAACAAATGACGGTTATTTTAACTCATAATTTGTCATTTATGTGGTTGACATTCAAAGTTTTCCCAATTAAATGACTGTATATCATCATTTAAAATATAATTTTTAAGGTCAACGCTATCAAAGGAAAGAATAAATGACGGTAAATAATTTACCCCTCATATATTGTAAGATAAATGCATTATATTTCTATTCAATAAATGATATCAATTACCTTTAATATATTTCAAATGTAGGTCGCACCAAAATTTGTAAAGGACTTCAGAATTGATTTTTTTTGTACGGTATAATACAATCGCTCTAATAAAATAGTAAAAAATATGTTAGTATGGAATTTAAATAAACAAATAAATATGTAAAATACTTTATGCATTTACATATTAATCAACTCTAATAAAATTTGTCAATTTCTTAGTTACCCTCCAAGAGAATCGAGATAATATATCTTTGAAGTATTGCCAAATGGTTCGGTGGCGATCAATATCCAATGGTCCCTAATGGTATTAACACGTGTTACAAAATTATAATTAATTGATTAAATTAAAAATAAAAAGCGTTAAGATAAATGGAGAAGTACATTATTCTTGATAGTATGGTATTATCAATAATGTTCCCTTTCGAGCCCTTGCTTTGAAATTTTCCCTTAATGCCTTTGCTTGTTCTAAAATTTTGTCGTTTCTAATTAAGGCATGTGCACCAACCTCGTGAGGAATAGTGAAGATGAATTTCATTTTTAGATTGAAAGGAATAACAAATTTTTCATACAAGTACCTACTATAAATTTCAAATAGAATATCTGAGTTTTCCTTTGATACTATACCCTGACAAATTATCATATGCTAGAAAATAATTAATTATGCCAAACAACAATGCTCTCAAATTAAATATTTCTTCTCTATATCCATCATATACATCAACACTGTTCTCTCACAACAGTTTTTAATTCTCAATTAAATGAGTCAAATACATGTTTATGTTATTTCCCAGCTATTTTAGACTTAAAATTAGAATGGATAACATCATATATTTTTGCTTTATATATAACCATAGAGGTAAGTTCTAAATTACTAAAATAATTGGTCATGTACTGTGAATGCTACTTTGAAGCCCATGTGGATTTATTCAATTAGTAGATAATACAAGGTAAAGGTTTCTATCTTTTGCTCCAAAGTCAGGGTAATTGAGATTAATTTTTTCATTGAAAAGAGTCAACTGGATGTCAAAGCTTTCCATCTTTGATCCATCCATCCACATGCCATGTCAAATTTGTTGCATCCTTCTGCACTACTACACAGCCGTCTAAATCTAGGTACAATGGGAAAGTACTATAACGCCTTTTTTAGACTCTTTCCGTTCTCTTTATAGCACAAGGCATTATATTTTGGACATTTGTTAATGATATATATTCATTTCTAAATAATATGCAATTATTAGGATAGGTGTGTATTTTTTTCATAACTCATGGCAATTGAGCATAGTATTTGTTTTACCCTATACATAGTCTTTAAAAGCTTGTTGTTCGCAGGTAAAAGTTGTTTTATAAGTGTACGATTTTTTGTAAAGCTCTAATCACTCCATCCATTGCTCACTTTCAAATCGTACAATTTCAATACTGCCAACAATTTTGTGATTTGGTGTAACCAGCATACAAGGGCTTCTCCACATCAATTTCAACATCTTTAACATTTCAAGACAATCCTCAAATTTTCTTTCAATCACATTGGCCATTTCTTCAAGATGATCATCCTCATAAGTATCTGTGTCATAATCATTTGATTCAAAGCTTCCTTTATACTCCTAATTACAAGTCTACTTATCGTCTCTAGTCTCTCCATGCTTATGTCAACACTTGTAATTTTCATCAATTTCATAGCACACTAAATGGTCTTCCAACTCAAATGCATTAATTTGCCTTAAAAGACCACATCTTATACAAAGGTACACAATTCTTCTATGGTCTTTTACATGATCAAGAGCAAGTCTTATAAACTCTTTTACACCATTCAAATACTTTTTACTTAATCGATTGGAAAACATCCATTCCTTATCCATAACTTTAATCTAAAAAAAAATTCATTCAAGGAAATGTGATCAGTGATTCATGAATATGGAGAAGAAAGGTGTAGCATCCTCAATTTTAAATCAAGATTAATTAAATTCAAATAGACCAAATAAGTATATTAGTAAGGTCTGTGGTCAGAAGGGCTTAATATGGTGTAATTATTGTGAATTTAGCCCCAGAAGTAGGTTCCGGATCGATGGCAGGCTACTCGAGCAAGGAAAGAGAAAGAAAAGGTGAAGAATTGCTCTTTGTGCCACATGGCACGTGGTCAATCCACCGCGACCCACGGAGGCAAATTTGAATCCAACGGGCTCCTCTGTGCCATGCACCACGGTAGAGGGCAACATGTGCCATAATGCATGAGCAAAATTCTAATATATCAGTTTCGTATTTGAACGAGAAAAACATGGAAGAGGAACAGAAAAATGAAGAAAACGAAGGAGCTGAGCTAGGGCTTAAGAAACCAACTTATAGGAGTAAATTTAGAGCTCATAAATACCAAAGATAAGCTTCCTTACTTAAATTTTTCTCTTTTCTTCCATTTTCTTGATGGTAGAGGTTAGGATTTGATTGTTAATGGTGATTTTTAATCCATAGAAACTATGAGTCCGAACCCATTAACTTAAATATAGTTAATAGGAGTAGATTGAGCTAAGTAAACTTGATATTTATGGTTTTATGATGATTAATGGTTGGAGAACATTAAATGTCCGACATTCTTATAAATTTGGTGGTTGGAAACAATATGATTTCATTAATGACCATTTAAGAGCTCAATGTTGTTAATGAGAGTTAAAGGAAGCTAAGAAGCCTTATGGGTACTTTTACATGAGTCAAGAATAAATCTTGAATATTAAGAAATGATGAAGTGTTAGTGGAAAATAGCTTAAAAATGGATATTGATGTTTTGTATGGTAAATGCTTGTAGAGTAACTACTATTAGCATCATTCAAACTTCTTGGAAGCTTTGGGAGTGAGTAATTGAGGGTGAAACCTTTGACCTTTCAAAGGTTTGAGGTAACTAGGAGAATTCTATCTTATACTTATGTTTAGTAGTTTATTGATTTATGATTGATCATTGAAATGTGTAAATTAAAAAGAAATGCAAGTGTGGCTTGATTTGTTAGAAAATTCACTAGATCAAATTTGTAAGTTTTATGCCTTGTGATGTAAAATTTCTTGAGAACATTATCAATGGATTTTCATATTATATTTATTGGGAGTTCAATGATTTTGCGAATTGAGAAGTAACATGAATCTTTGTTTATGAGAAGTTCTATGATGTTTAAAATAATGGAGTTCAATGATTTTAAAAGTGTAGAGTACAATAATTGTGAAGTTAGAGTTCAATGACTTATTTGGTTTAAAGTCCATGAAAGTGTGTTTAAGAAATCTAATGATTTTTGTAATGATAAAGTTCAACGAAAATTTAATTTAGGAATATTTCATGTGATATGGTACATTGCACTAGTTAGTCTTAATGATTTGTACGTGGTCAAATTAGTGTCGGTGGCTATTGGTCTTTGGTATTTGATTTGGATATTTGATTCTGTAAAAATTATTGTAAAAGTGTAAGTTTTGGAAAGGGTTTTCAATTTTTGTTTTAAAAATAATTTGAGTTTGAGACCAATACCATTAGTTAGAGTTCAGAAAGAGCTTTCTGTAGACACCAAGTTCAAGTCATTCGAACGTCGGACAGAAATTTGGGACGCGTTGGAAATTGGCCCTAATACTGTCAATTGGATAGCAGAATTTACTGTCAAAATTCGTACAATTACACTATAGTGTATGGTGCCACGAGTTGCAGCGCGTGTTTTA